CAGACGGATGCAGTTGCTCTCAGGAGGATATATAATAAAGGTGTGTTAGCTGCTGAGCCTATTTAGTGTGCATACGACACACCTGGCACAGTTTATTCATTTCACACGTAGCGTAGCGCGTGCATGTCGTCGTCCAATCCTTTTGTCAATCCTTCTTAACCGCCTTCGCTTCCGAATCAGCATTGCTATTGCATTTGACTGGTCGACGATCTGTATTTGTGTTTGCTTAAATAACGCAGACGAAGCTCATGTCTGAGGTCGGAAGGTAAACAGACGCCTCATTTACAGCAAGTGGGCGCGGGAGGTTTTTCTTCTTCTTTTTCTCTCGGTTTTTTGGCGGATTGCAACTTTAAGGTGCATACCGCCACCTACTGTACTCGCCGTGAAGTTGTTTGCGGCCTGCCAGTAAACCCAAAGCAGAAGAAGAAGAAGTGACGTCAGCGGTTCATTTGCCTAATCCACCCCTAGGAACTCATTTTGGTGTGAACGCGATCTGCTTTAGTTCATCAGAACTAAAAGAGCTCTCATGAACTAAAGTTCTCATGAACTATTGTGGGAAAAGTACTTGGTGTGAACGCGCCTATTGAGTCATTGGGATTGTGCCCAGCATCATTCACAACAATCTGTGTATTAAATTGTAAAATATCATGTTAAATAAAAGTTATAATGAGAAAACATCTGAGAATAAAAACAAGCTTAACTGATTTACTTGTTTAGTTGATCTCTGGCCCTTCAATTGTAGCTTTTGACTGGGGAATTCTGAGTCGATTGGTTAATCTATAATTGAATCCCTTTATTTAACAGATTTTTTTGTTCATAATTTATCATAATGATTTGTATTATGATTTATAATACAGGCACCTAGCAAGAGAAATATTAATTTAATTATTATAAAAAATAAATAGTAATTTTTTTTATTTAGTGGGAATGCTGATACAGCATATGTTATGCTACGGACAAAAAGTTTATTATTATTATTCCGCCGACTTATTTTGGCCCTCTTCTCCTCCCACATTCAACATCGCAGAAACTCCGTTCAAACATCAAAACGTTCAACTCGGTCGGGAATCGCAGGCTATTACTTTTCTCATTCATAACTTTCATAATTCCAGAGATACATCCCATAATTCATCACATTTTTAACCATTGAAGTCAATGGAGATATTCTTCAGACTTCAACAAATCTTCATGCGACTTCAACTGCTAACTGTTCATTCATACTTTCACTCAGAAACCTCATTCCAACTTTAAAATGTTACACATCTTTCTGACATTATTCGTGTAACACAACTTTTAAATCTGATTCTTACTTTTAGAGATATTAAACATTGTTCAGACCTTGTTAAAAAGGTTTTCTTCAGATTTTAACATTAACTAGAGTGCGTGATGTCACAGCTAGAGTGGAGCAAATCTTGAAATTTGCCTTCATTTATTTTTTTAAAACGGCCATAATTCCCAAACCCTACATTCCTGAGACATAATTCTTCATGACAAATGTAGGAAAACATCTAGCTTGAACAATGACAAATAATTAAGCAAAATAATTAAACAAAATGCCTCTTGAGGGCATGAAGTGACAAAAACGTTCAACATGTCTCCATTAAAACCCATTGTAATTTCAGGCTGATATTTCCTCCCAGCAGCAGCCGCACACCTTTAGTTAAACTGCCAAAAAGGCCACATTATTAACCCGAAAGTACACAAAAATTACACTTCAGATACTCAACTTCCTTGACATGCTTCACGTTTTGAAATTTCACAGATATCTGTTATCGTTCTTCCACAAAACGTTCACATGTAAGAGGTTTATCTCTCATTCAGAACAATGCAAACCTTTGATCTCTTCAGAGCTCGTTAGCTCAACTATAAACACCTGTGTAATGGAACACGATGATGTCATCACTCCAACTGACAGCAGTCAGTTCTAACTGTTCATTTCATACTCACACACACACACACTCTCTCTCTCTCTCTCTCTCTCTCTCTCTCTCTCTCTCTCTCTCTCTCTCTCTCTCTCTCTCTCTCTCTCTCACAAACTCTCTATCTCTCTCTCTCTCTCTTTCTTGTGGCTTTCACACCAGCGCTTTTCCCTTTCTAGCTCCTAGCTAGAGCTTTTCTGGTTCAGATCCGGTTTCCCTTTTCAGCTCCCGCTCTGTTCACACCGCCCAGCTGCCGCTGCTGCGTCATGACGTCACCGTTTACATCGCTGATTTGCTCCCCAACGGAGCTCACAACAACAACGGGGGGGGACTGCGTCGGGTCGATTATCGTGTTGCTTTTAATCATACGAAGCCAGATTAAATTAAATAACGACTTCTCCAACCTTATACTTTTCTCCAGAGTGCCGTGGTTCATTGTTTATTAATGTGTTTCAGCGGCATTTACCGACCGCTGCAGTGCTGGCTGCTCTTCCACGGGAGTTTATTCTCCCGTTAGCTCCGGGTTAGCTCACACGGCTCTAAAGTATTCACTGTCTGACTGTCACACAAGCAGCTGATACATATCCCCAGTTCCCCTTAAGTGAATGTGTGTCAGTCTGAATTGACGCTGTTTGGCATCACAACGCTGTTATGAAAGTTTCTCTGGTATAACATGGGTGATGTTAGCATAGCAACCGAAGCTAAACTGACTACTTGCTAAGCCGTTTTCTACAGGCACATTTTACCGGCGTATTTTTCATTATGATTCTACTTGTGATAGTCGGACATGACAACCTGTGCAGCCCATGTATTGATTCCATCCGATAGCTGCTATAATAACAAACAAAACGTCTGCCTGCTCTCCACAATGATCAATAACAGCGAACGGATGGTCAAAGTAAGGTACAAATGTCCTGCACGCCTCGACGTAAGAGAGACGTAAGCGACGCCGCGTCATAGCTCCGAAGCTCTTGCCTCTAGACCGACAATTTTTTGGAGCTGGAAGTGAACCGCATTCCGGAGCTATGACGCGGCGCCGCTGCGGTGTGAACAGGAAAAAACGGCGCTTGTCCAGCTCCAGCTCCGAGCCGGAGCTGGAAAAGCGCCGGTGTGAAAGGGGCATGTGCCACACACAGAGTCTCTCTCTCTCTCTCTCTCTCTCTCTCTCTCTCTCTCTCTCTCCTCTCTCTCTCTCCTTCTCTCTCTCTCTCTCTCTCTCTCTCTCTCTCTCTCTCTCTCTCTCTCTCTCTCTCTCTCTCTCTCGCCACACACACACACACACACTCTCTCTCTCTCTCTCTCTCTCTCTCTCTCTCTCTCTCTCTCTCTCTCTCTCTCTCTCTCTCTCTCTCTCACACACAATGTTCCAAACGGCCCAAAACTTCACAGGTTTGGTAACGATGCAGCCATCAACGCATCTAAGCGTATTATGGGGTGTCATCAAATGCTGTTGCCATGGCGACAGACCACTCGCCATGAAGCACGATGTCGCTGTAAGTCCAATGGAAACGGTCCGATCGCCCCCCCAAACTTCGCTTGTATATCACCGGTCCAGCCCTCAACAGCTCTACGTCAATTATGGGGTTTCTTCAAATGCCGTTGCCATGGCAACACAATGCTCGCCATGAAACACGGTTTTTTCATAACTTCAGTGAAAATGTTCCAAACAGCCCAAAACTTCACAGGTTTGGTAACGATGCAGCCATCAACGCATCTAAGCGTATTATGGGGTGTCATCAAATGCCGTTGCCATGGCGACAGATCCTTCACCATCAAGTTAGTTCAAAAGTTTGCAGTTCAAATATTCTGCTGCTTTTCCAAGCCTTTTTACTTTCTTTTCTTCACTCATCACACATTCAAATCCCCAGTGTTCATGTATCATTTCAATCTAAATTCTTCACTTTCTTCTTACACATTACATTTCAGCATAGCAGTTTAGCATCAGCTTTTCAGCATAAAGCATTCCCACTAGCAATTTCTTTAGGAATTGCATTCTCTAGTTAAAGTTTACTGTCCTAAACAAACCAGTAAACATTAAATAAAAAATACAACATTTTATTTGTAGATACTGTACTGTATTTCCCCCCTTACCTTTTCTGGTTATCTTAAGGCAGAGTGCAGTATGTTCTTGTTTAGGGTATTTTATTGTACTGTATGGTGAATGCATATATAGCCATTATATCACCCAGTCTGTCTGGCACCTGGACAAGTTTGATTTTCTTATACATCAACGTACCTGTTTCTCCCTTTGAGCAATTTTGCTGTTTGTGTGAACAAACATTCATAAAGTACTTATTTATAGAATCCTAAATTGTAAACTTCTTAATAGAGCGACACAGGTCTATTGTCTTGATTAGGGACGTAAAGTATAACTGTGGTTTCATTCTTGACCTTCAGCGAGATAAGCAAAATAAGGCAGATGGTTCATTCTCAGAGCATTTATACTATCTTCTTTCACAGTTTAGCCACACTCACAGGTTTTGACCTTTTGAGACTGATTTACATTATGTCAGGTAAATTGCGACATCTAGTGGTTTTGATGTGAACAGTTTATTACACATGAACTGTGTAAAGATCATTAAAGATTCATTTTCCGATTTTTAACCAGACACGAACACGCTCACATTTAGACGTAGTGGGGTGTAACATCTATGGGGTAGAACTACATTACCAAAAATTCGTTTATGGGTAATGTTCTTAATGTTCATTGATAGTATTTTAATAAAAAAGTATGTAACAAGGAGTATTAGCCTACGGCAAGTGGACATTGCTGATATGTTGCATTTGAGGCATATGGTTTAAAACTGAGATACAATTTGAGCCCTGGTCGTATAAGGTTAAAATATTAGTGAATCAAATTAATTAAATCCTTTTCTTGGAAGTTTGTTTCGCGTATCTTCTGAAATACACTATTTAGAAGTTAACACTCCTTCAAATGTGTATCCGACACACTTATTTCTACGAGTTATTTGTATTCTGTCTGGTTGTACACGGACTTAACAAGAACATGTGAATGCAACACATTCTCGAGGGAGCGTTGGCGGTCTCTTTGAAGTTTAGTTTAACGGCTGGAGTTGAAGCATAGAAGCCGCCTTCTGAGGTAGGCAAACGATTAAGTTATTTCAAAACTTATATGCATGACATTACGATATTTTATATTACAAGTTATACGTTGGTCAATATTACTCATTTGTGTGAAATGAATTACCCGTTTGAACCGCGAAAATATACGGTGGAAAGGACAGAAAGGCATGCTAAATGTCAGGTTGTTAGGCTGCTCATTGTGTAGCCATTGTGTTACGTAATTGCGAGAATTTGCTTTTAGTTCCAGCTTGATTTAACTTTCCAGCTTGATTTAACTAAACTAGATGTGAATAGACTAATGTTAATCCATGTCATTCTCCCAAGAAGTATAACTATCAACGTGATAGTTATACTATTTTGAGGTTTTAATTAACCACTAAAACCTCAGTATCTGAGAAGCTGCAGCACACTTCATGAAATGTTAGTAATTGCCCATCAACAAGTTGTCTAAGTAATACAATATCATGTTCAACCCATCTTTCATAATATAGAGATTTTCTTTTATATTGAATATTACTGTTGTTCCAAATGTAATAATTGGTCGGTGAAAAACTGTGTAAATTAGTTTCCTGGCCAGCAGGGCTTTCTTATGAAAGTTTGATAATGTTATAGGCAACTTGTCAATATTATAATCACATTTAAGTAGAAATGTAACTCTGCCTATTAAGCCTACCTTGTTTCATGCTGGAGTGTAATTACCTTCACGTCAGAGATGGAAGAAGTAATCAGATCTTGTAATTGAGTAATAGTAGAAGTATCAGAGTGTAGGAATACTCTGTTTCAAGTAAAAGTATAGAAGTACAAAGTAGCAAACAATTGAAATACTCTTCAAAGTACCTCCAAAGGGTACTAAAGTATAGAGTACTACATCCACTTATTGACATTACACCACTGCTTTACGTATACAGTTTGTGGTAATAACATATCATACATATCTGTAATGAACTTTTACCAAGTAAAGTATAGCACATCTCTTAAGAAACCTAATACGAGCTAAATCAGTTAACTTTACAAATTGACCATCAACCGATATGTGAGCCCGTTTTGTTTCCCATAAGCTTTATTGAAGCTTCTATCCAGAACCATGTGTTTCGGCAGGCCGAGGTTTCTATTACATGTAGGAGGTGTAGTATATCTGCCGACTCATAACTGTATACTGTAACTGTATACATGATGCATCAGAGAGCTCAATAAACCAAATGTTTGATCATAAATGGCCCTAAACAATACATAGAAGATAGTGTTATTGTTAACCGGGGTAGAAATGTTTCTTTGGGCTCCCCTCATTTTAGAAAAAAACAGCATCAAAATTAGACAAAGAGTTTAAGAAACACATATACATTCATATTACATATTACATTTGATTATGTCAATGTTTGTCGCTTAAGTCTTTTTAGTCGTACTGTTGAGTTTAGAATATGAATGGTACTTGTGGCGAAGGACTTCTAAAATAATGTTTAAATACACAGAGTTAACAGGGTTAGGGTGCATGATTTGTTCTCAGGGGAATACATTATACTGTCCTATCCTATTATTAATATACAGAGTAGTCACTTGCTTGACTTAGTTGACCTTTGTAGATGCAGTTTACATTCATCACGTCTGTCTCCCAGGGCCAGGGCCAAATGTTACATCTTAATCGTGAACAAAATAGTTATGTTAAAAAATGATAGGGAAGAAATGACACAGAATCTTAATCAGTCAAAGTCAACTTTATTGTCAATCTCAAAATATGTTTGTACACACAGAAAGATCGAAATACTGTTTCCCACAATGAGCAAAGCTACATGAAGCTGTTCAGTAAAAAACACATGAAAGCATATCTGTTTGTAATACAGGACATACATTACAGCATTTATATATACAGCCTTTCTTTGACACATCAAATGAAAGCATGACAAACGCTTCAATACAGGGCAGTGTGTGTCACTGAATGCTTTGATATTTATGTCACCATATGTGTCATTTTGGAGTGTCACGTAAAAACAACACTCTCCCCACATTATCATACAAAAACAACATCATTTCAGATGATTGCTGTTCACATCTTCACTGTAGAATAACACATTAACCCCCGATTGAAAGGTAGTTTGGGAAAACCGAATGACAGAAAACTCTTATTATTTTCATCATCAATACATCTGCTGATCATATCATTAATTCATCAATGGAACTTTAGTCTATCAAATATTGAAAAGTATTTTTCAGCAAGACCAATTGAACTTGATTGTTTTCAGTTTAAAAGCACATAGACATAGAAACAGAATAGAGCTAAACAATATTCACATTGGAGAATCTAGAGTTTTGCTTAGATAACTACAAATAAAAATAATATCAAAATACTTGCTACTAATCTTATTCCGATGTCTGTTTCTGAAAGAAAGCTGGAAATAAAGTCAAACACTACACAGATTTAATGTCTGCCTTTTCTTCATTTGAGTTATTGTTTTTGTACATGATGCAAATAGGATCTTGCAAAATAATATTCTTTTAATTTACTTTTTAAATAAATAAAACATTTTATTATCACATTTTTTGCAACTTGTCCCTCTTCTACACACCTGTCTCATGGAATATTTGCAAAGTGTTTTTTCTGCTGTGTTATGTGTGTTTATATACATACCAGCAGTGTCAGACTAATATATACCTGCTGACTGTAACTATGCACCTTCCTCTTCCTGTTGAACAGAGCCATGAGTGACTGGGAGGAGACGGACTTCTGCGAGGCTTGGAACTGGACACCTGGAATAGGAAAAAGAAAAAAGCACCCTAAAAAGGAAAAGAAATGTCCAAAACGTCAAAACGACCTTACAATAAAAAGTGATGAGAATATCCCAAAAAAAAGAAAAGAAACATTCAAAATATAAAGAAGCAATGGACGTGAGGAAAGAGAAGAAAAAAGATAAAAATAAAGTAGCCTTGGTACTTGGGGACCGTTTTATACTTCCACAGGGCAGCAGTGCAACATTTGAACGCACTGAAATATCAAATCCACCCGGTGGTGAGAAGCTAAAATCTGACTGCAATAAGAAAACCAAAAGAAAAAAGAATGTGGCATTTGACTTATCACCTGGCAACATCCCAGTCAAACGTCCTAAATGTTTCTCTTCATCTGAGCAGAGGCCCATAAAGAGCATCCTCACAGAGCCTGAAGCTGTGAGAGACAGTGGGAGCTGTGCTCAGGTCACAGTGACACAGGCTTATGAGTCCCAATGCACCAGTGAGGATATGAACAGCCAGGACCTGTTTATCACCCAGAAGACTTTCAGAACATTGCCGTCTGAATCTTCCAGTGGCGAAACCAGTGACAAAGCTCCTATGACTAGTCCTCTTAGGTTGACACCTCGAAACAAGCTGTACACATATATGCCCTGGGTAGAACAGTATTGTGGAGGATCATACAACAAATTACATGTCCAGCAACAGCCCAGAAAGACCAACACGCATGTGCAGAAGACAAACACAGTACAGGTGTGTTTCAAACAAGAAGAGGAGGAAGACGGGTTGAAGAAAGCAGATCAGAACCCCAAAAAGGGAAATTCATCTATTCAAACACAGGTGAATTTAAATGCAAACCTTACTGATGAGAAAAAAGTGTCACACCCTTCACATGTAAAGCCTGCTGTGGTGAAGAAACACCTGGAGGAGCCAACTGATTTAAAGCCCTTACCCGTTGCAAAGTCAAAGAAAAATTTGAAATGTGCCACCCAGCAGTCTGCATCATGTTCATCAGAACTATCGGTGCCTCGCCATAGGTTCATGGAAACCACTTCAACACAGACAGAAAACTTCTTCACATTTGAACTATGCTCTTACCTCAACTTCTATGAAAACAGTAGAGTGGCTGCTCATCATGACGAATTGAAACCGTTGGACCTGAGCCTGCCGCAGAGGGCCAGGAAAGATCTTGGGATGTGTCTGTCACCACTCGGAGAGATCAGAGGCGACAACCACAAAGAGCCCAACTTACATGAATCTGGTTGTTCAGACAGGAAAGATGGAGAGGTAGAGAAAGAGCCTTCTGGACAGCATTGGTCTGCAGACATGACCACCTCCAGCGAGGATGAGCCCCCCGGTCGCTCCGGCAAGCAGGACCTGACCCAGGTGACACCACAGGAAACACAGTCACCCTGCTCCATGCATCCACCAAACAACCTATATCTTATAATAACTTGTACCTGTTTCATAATGTTGTTACTGAATTGAACCAGTCCTTTTGTAAAAATAGGGTTTGACGAAGAGAAAATACTATTTTGATGCTTCTTGAATTTATACTACCTTTTGAAGAGCTAAGCAATATTTCATCACTACTCTGAAAATAATAGAATAGTGACCTGTGGACCAAATCTGACCCGGCAACAAAAAGATGTGATCACCAGTGAAAGCTGGAGCTACCATTTTATAGTTTGCATCACTTGATTCTTCGTTAACCTGCAGTAGGTAACAATGTAAATACACATACTTACTCAAAAAAGCAATGATTTGCATTTAAAACACAAACATACATTTCTGAAATGAACTTTTATACAACCACAAATGAGCATTATGTATTTTGTGTGGTCTTGAAATGATACAAATACCAAATGAGTGACACAAGCTTCAGTAACGGTTAGGTCTTTCTTACTGATAGAAAAAGTGCTATCTGCTACAGAATTCTAAAACCAGTTTTGTCAATCTGTTTCATTCAAAAATATAAAACTCTAAAAAGCTACAAAAAAAAGTATATCATATAAATGTGTGTTTCAAAGGTGCCTGTGAAATGATGTTGGACACCAAGCAAGGATTCTTTCTGGCCTAAGGCTGAGAGCATGGACTCATTGTTCCCTTATCTTTCAAACTGTTATTTCTTTCTATTGATGGAAATGGATTTGACGTTGTCTCTATAATAAGCAAACGCCTCATTGGTAAGGCTTGTGTATGCCACTGTTTGATAACAAAGTGACTTTTGTGTGACTTCAGGTGAGGGCAGTCCAGATGAGACTCAATGAGTCTTTCTTCTTCAAGACCAAAGGAGAGGGACGATACCCCCGCCCAGAGTCTCCACTGATGAAGCTGGCTCAGGGCAGAGAGCTGAAAGGCAGGAAGAGACACTGACCCACAGTCAGTGGCTGCACCATGCTTACTGTTTTTTGTGAGGAGCCCTTTAATGTCTGGAACAGTATTCAAGAGGCTCGGGTTAAAGAATAGCCATGTATCAGTTTTACAGTTCAGTTATAATTGAGCTCTTGGTGCTAAAACAACATTTAATCTAGAGGTGTAAAAACGTGTGGTTAAAAGCTGTGACGTCAACACTGTGAGGGCAGTCAACCATTTCATAATACAAAGAAGGTTCAAGTCATCCTGTTGGATGGAAACATGAAACACACTAAATAGTCCTCTTGAACAATAAGAGAAAAGCTCGGCCTAAAAATGAACTAATGGAGAAAAATGACATAAAACTTTATGCGTTCATTTGTTTGAATTTTCAAGTTAGACTTTCCTATGACATTGTAAAGGCTTTTAAATGCAGAGGTTGTGTGTTATCACAAAGAACGTTTGGAAAGTTGCAGGAATTACGACATCAAGTTGTAGTTCTGCTTTGTTCATCGCCAGTTAGAAGTGAAAGCATGTCTTTTATCAATTAAAGTGTATTTATTGTGTAGAATTAGTCCTTACTGTACAATCTGTAACATATACAGTCTTCAAGTTGTGTGTTTTATATTACACAGTGATGCTTCAATATTAAAGTGGTGTATTCTTTATTAATGTCACCTCAATAGCAATTTGTCATTTGTTACATGACATACATACATCCCTTTTCTGCCCATTTCTGTTCATACATCTTGAACTACATTAAGGTGGAGAATGAAACAATAGGACTTGGAACCTCACACTGTTCCAAACACACATTCAGGATTGACTCTACTCTATCATGTTCAACACTTCACCATGGCTTGTGTTTAAGCTGTTGTGACAGTAACAAGCATTGTGTCTTTAAAGCAAGCAGGGAACCACTACTCAAAAGAAAAATAATCCTAGTATTCCTGCCAGTTATTACACACAGCCGCTCTTCACCATTAATTGCCCATGTCCCCGATACCCGCAGAGGTGGGAAGTAACTAAGTACAGTACTGTACTTAAGTACAATTTTGAGATACTTGTACTTTACTTGAGTGTTTCAATGTTTTGCTACTTTCTACTCCACTAAAATTCAGAGGTAAATGGTGTACGTTTTTCTCCACTTATTTAGTTACTTTACAGATGTGGATGAATGATGTGAAATCTAACCAAGTGTTAAATCAGACTTTAGTTCCACCTGGAGTAAATTCACAAGCTACCCTGCAGAATACAAAGTCATTCAAACTAGCTGCACCTTTACTAGCTTTGAGAACACTTTCATGATCAATCATTATAAAACATATCAGATATATTATTCTGAAATGGACCAATCTGCACAATGACTACTTTTACTGTCGCTACTTTAACTATATTAAAAAAAATACTTTTCTACTTTTACTTGAGTAACATGCAATGCAGGACTTTTACTGTAACAGAGTATTCCTACGCTCTGGTACTTCTACTTCAGTAGAAGATCTGAGTACTTTCCCCACCTCTGGATCCCCAACTTAATATGTATTAAAGCAGTATTTCATTTTATATGTGGATAAAGCAACATTTTCAGTTTTTAAACTATGAAAGCTGTGCATGTACTGTATCGATTTGATGTCAAACTTCTAATGCCTTTTATTAACCAAGAAACAAAGTAGGTGCAGAGACGTAAGATGACAGCAGATGATTTATTGGTACTGACGTGTTTTCAGGTAGAACAGAACATGCTAGTTGTGTCTGAAGAGCTTGATCCCGATCCAGCTCCAGAGGTGGAAGAAGACGTAGACGGGGATGGTGACGGGCAGCAGCAGGCTGTAGAAACACACACTGCTGCTGCTGGTGCAGCCCTGAGGGAAGTTCTCATCCACTGCAGCCGAGTAGAAGAGACCGAAGAGAGACACGATGGGCACTAGCCCCACCATCACAGACAGGGAGAACATGCTCACAGACGTCTGAGCCGCTACAGAAGAATTGAGCCTTAAGTCGCTCTAATGTTAATAGTCTTTGTTGGGTCAGCTGGAGTTTCTATGCCTGCGTTGGAGTGGGGGAGGGGTCTGTGTGTTTCCGTATGAGTCTGGCGTCCTGAGGGATCATGTTGGGGATGCCGTCGATGATAGGGTAGGCGATACCGAGCTCCTCGTTGATCAGCTCATTGGTCTCAGCTGCATACCTGAGCAGGGACACAAGAAACATTGCCGTTCTTAAATACACACTACTCCCAATAATGCTACAAACTCTAAGAAAAACAGTATGTAACTTTAACTCAAATAAATAAAGGAGAAATGTGTTTTAAAGTAAAGCAAATTAACGTATTCCCTCTACACCCGTTACTTCCCAGTGACACAAAATTAATCTTGATAGTTCAAGAAATAACTATAGTTTTTAAATGTTGATAACTGAAGTCAAACGTAGTGATAATGTACATTCATGTATTTAAAAATCACCACGCAATATTTTGATACACATTTGAGTTCTTTTGATTTACATTTGCATTTTTTTAACTAAATTTGATGGAAATGCTTTTCAATGTCTAGATTTAAATCAGAATTCATGTAGCGCTTCATTTTGTGTACTGACTAAACTTTGTCATGAAAATTGGTAAATTAAACTATGACGTTTTCTACTGGCGGCCGGGACATAATCAATATTCCCCTGTTCAAACACAGGCTTTAGAGGACACTGGGCCTGAACCACACCAATGAAGCTACACTCATATTACATTTAAATATTTCTATGTAAGCTTTTTGGAAAATGCCTTCCTTTTACTAACTTAAGAGTAGTAAACAATATCATCATTATATATTTACTGCAGCACTCAGAGCCATTTATTATCAGTAATAAGAATTATACGCAGGCATTACACGGACATGAAACTAAAACTAATAATAAAAGGAGTTTTCCACTTCTCGATGGCTGGTGAGTGTAATGTTACACTCATATGAACAACATTGTTCATATTTTGAGATCGCTTATTTATTTTTATGATTAACATCTTAGAGAATAAGTAAAAGGAATAAAAACTATAATACTTTTTTGTTGTTTTCATCAAGAGAGCCATCACAATAGGACACACACATACAGCTGACAACAGGTATATGGAGATATTAAATTATTTGTATTATTATTCGGTTAAATAAGTTATTGCTATGGCAACACTACGGTCTGTTGAAGCTATTTTATTGTCTTCACATAGGATTTTACATTTTTTATATAGTCTATACTGATGTAAATTGTTATTTTAGGTTATTTTAGAGATCAATGTAATTGTCTAGTTTATATAATTATCGTTTTATATTGATCAGTCACATTATAGAGTATTTGTATGTGATTAATATTGTGGTGGGTTGACATAATTCACCCACGGAACTATGGGTTGGGGTATTGTTCCGCACGGACATTTGAGTTAACCGGACTTGCTGTTTCCGCCGGTCATGTCTTCCCGGGCTTGAAGTGTTTACATGCTTTCTTGATGCTTAATAAAAGTCTAGCTTGTACTTTCGATACACCGCCTCCGACTCCCGTCTCTCGGCACAACAATATACTATTATTAAGCATTTCAAAATGTATTGTAATGACTTTTTAATTGTAAAGAGTCTGTGTCCACCTGACAGAGGACAGCCGTCTGTCACAAAAGGAAACAGCTGATTTTGATTTGTTGGACAACAGTTATAAAAAAGAAGAGCCAGTACTTCCGGTCTGTTTATTAACGCCAGAACACATCGCAAACAGAAAGGCGTGATCGGGCCGGTTCGGAGCACCAGGAGCCACGACGCTTCGCATATATATTATTGGGCTGCAATCCAAAAAAAGCCTACCTAAATGTAAATGTTGTTGTTAGTCTGTTTGTGTGTTACCTGAGCGGCTTCTTGCTCAGCGGACACACCAGCAGCTCCAACAGGGAGAGGTCAAACTGTTCCCCGTCCTTCAGCCCTGAGAGGCCCCGTAGAGACACACCGCCGGGGGTCGGCCTCGTCTGCACACCGCGGAGAACACACCCGGTCTCTGTCAGCAGTCTGCCAAAAACACTCCGAAACATGACCGAAACAGCGAGAAAATAGCAAACACTCCCCGACCGGAAGAAGCACAAACGCTGTATAACCCAAATATGCAATAGAGTGGCGAAGTCCCTCCCACTTACTTCCGGGGTATGGGACCTTATTCCGGAAAAGTTATGCATTGAAGTCAATGGGGAGAGAAAACTTATCTTTCGATCCCGTTTGAATTGTGCCATGAATTACACATATGATGTTTGTCAATCTTAAAAAATCATTTCCATGTCAAAAAAGTCACAGTTTGTCGTAAAACTGTTGAAATATAAGACTATGAAAAATACGTAACTAGAAAGACTACAAATCCCAGAGTCGCGTAAGTGATGTCACAATTGTTTACCTCCACCATTCAGATACCTAAGATCAGCGCAATATAGATATAATCTATCTATATGGCGCTGGCTAAGATAAGATAACTTTAACAAGATGCCTGTGTGCTTAGTACCAGGTTGTTATTATACCAGCAATGGGTCTTGCTCGTTCTTTTGCTTCCCGTCTGATGAAACGACCAGGAGTGGCTTGATCAAGTTAGCTACCTAGCTAGTAGCTAGCACGTTAGTTAGCATTACAGCCTTGTCATTTTTATTAGCCTTAACATGAAGTAACATTAAGTAACCCAAAATGTTAAACAGTAAGAGTAGTAGTCATATTTCGTGAACCCTTTGAATAGTACTGTCACCGGTGTGATCATTCTATAATACACCATTTAATTCCGGGGGAGAAATGCTAACGCTAACGTTAGCATCGGCGATCTTTTCTACTTCATGCTATCTGCACAAATGGTTGACATTAAACATTAAAACGACCAGGCAGTTCAGAGAGAATCAAAGGAAGGCAGGCTTTGCATGACATTCTTCAGGACGTGTTTCATTGTGGTGATAGTCAATCGTTTGTTGACAAGACAGTAGTGACGGCCATCTTGGTGACGTGTGTTGTTGACGAGAGATGTAGTTCATTGAGCCTTTCACACAAACAAATGTGTTACTTCACAGTTTTACGACACATTTTAATTTTTTTGACTTGCAAAATTATCTTTTAAATTGACAAACATCATATGTGTAATTCGTGGCACAATTCAAACGGGATCGAAAGATAATCTTTCTCTCTCCATTGACTTCAATAGAGTGGCGAAGTCCCTCCCCTTCCGGTGGACCTCCATGGGACCTGGAGAGAGAAAGATTATCTTTCGATCCCGTTTGAATTGTGCCACGAATTACACATATGATGTTTGTCAATTTAAAAGGTAATTTTGCAAGTAAAAAAAAAAAATGTGTCGGAAAACTGTGAAGTAACACATTTGTTTGTGTGAAACGCTCAATGAACTACATCTCTGGTCAACAATACACGTCACCAAGATGGCCGTCACTACTGTCTTGTCAACAAAACGATTGACTACCCTCACTATCACCACAATGAAACACGTCCTGAAGAATGTCATGCAAAGCTGCCTGCCTGCCTTCCTTTGATTCTCTCTGAACTGCCTGGTCGTTTTAATGTTTAATGTCAACCATTTGTGCAGATAGCATGAAGTAGAGAAGATCGCTAGCGTTAGCGTTAGCATTTCTCCCCCGGGCTTAAATTGTGTATTATAGAATGATCACACCGGTGTGACAGTACTCTTCAAAGGGTTCACGAAATATGACTACTACTCTTACTGTTTAACATTTTGGGTTACTTAATGTTACTTCATGTTAAGGCTAATAAAAATGACAAGGCTGTAATGCTAACTAACGTGCTAGCTACTAGCTAGCATGATCCAGAGTACTCCTGGTCCTTTCATCAGACGGGAAGCGAAAGAACGAGCAAGACCCATTGCTGGTATAATAACAACCTGGTACTAAGCACACAGGCATCTTGTTAAAGTTATCTTATCTTAGCTATCTCTTAGTGGAGGAAAACAATTGTGACATCACTTACGCGACTCTGGGATTTGTAGTCTTTGTAGTTACGTATTTTTCATAGTCTTATATTTCAACAGTTTTACGACAAACTGACTTTTTTGACATGGAAATTATTTTTTAAGATTGACAAACATCATATGTGTAATTCATGGCACAATTCAAACGGGATCGAAAGATGAGTTTTCTCTCTCCATTGACTTCAATACATTATTTTTCCGAAATAAGGTCCCATGGGGCGGAAGTAGATGGGCGTGACTTCGCCACTCTATACAAACTTTTTCCGAAATAAGGTCCCATGAGTCCCACCGGAAGGGGAGGGACTTCGCCTCTCTATAGAGTGGCGAAGTCCCTCCCCTTCCGGTGGACCTCCATGGGACCTTATTTCGGAAAAATTATGTATTGAAGTCAATGGAGAGAGAAAGATTATCTTTCGATCCCGTTTTGAATTGTGCCACGAATTACACATATGATGTTTGTCAATTTTAAAAGATAATTTTGCAAGTCAAAAAAAAAAAATGTGTCGGAAAACTGTGAAGTAACACATTTGTTTGTGTGAAACGCTCAATGAACTACATCTCTGGTCTCACAGAACAACACACGTCACCAAGATGGCCGTCACTACTGTCTTGTCAACAAAACGATTGACTACCCTCACTATCACCACAATGAAACACGTCCTGAAGAAAGTCATGCAAAGCTGCCTGCCTGCCTTCCTTTGATTCTCTCTGAACTGCCTGGTCTTTTTAATGTTTAATGTCAACCATTTGTGCAGATAGCATGAAGTAGAGAAGATCGCTAGCGTTAGCGTTAGCATTTCTCCCCCGGGCTTAAATTGTGTATTATAGAATGATCACACCGGTGTGACAGTACTCTTCAAAGGGTTCACGAAATATGACTACTACTCTTACTGTTTAACATTTTGGGTTACTTCATGTTAAGGCTAATACAAATGACAAGGCTGTAATGCTAACTAACGTGCTAGCTACTAGCTAGCTTGATCCAGAGACTCCTGGTCCTTTCATCAGACGGGAAGCGAAAGAACGAGCAAGACCCATTGCTGGTATGAACAACCTGGTACTAAGCACACAGGCATCTTGTTAAAGTTATCTTATCTTAGCCAGCGCCATATAGATAGATTCTATCTATATGGCGCTGATCTTAGCTATCTCTTAGTGGAGGAAAACAATTGTGACATCACTTACGCGACTCTGGGATTTGTAGTCTTTCTAGTTGCGTATTTTTCATAGTCTTATATTTCAACAGTTTTACGACAAACTGTGACTTTTTTGACATGGAAATGATTTTTTAAGATTGACAAACATCATATGTGTAATTCATGGCACAATTCAAATGGGATCGAAAGATACGTTTTCTCTTTCCATTGACTTCAATACATTATTTTTCCGAAATAAGGTCCCATGGGGCGGAAGTAGATGGGCGTGACTTCGCCACTCTAGACAAGCGAGACAAGCGAGACCTGCGCAGACCTGCGCAATTGCGATCAACGTCTTGCTAGTGCGTTGCATGATGGTTAGTCATTTTGTCCGACTTGCTCAGGAGGCTCGCCTACATGAGACGTTGAAATCTCGCGGGACAAAGACGCCCGCAGACTTGAGAGCGAGGCGCGGCGAGGCGGCGCAGTTTCTCTCCACGGGCTGCGGAAGCGAAATGCTTGATGGGAAACGACTCGCTGGTATCTCGAGCTGAGCGCTCATTGGTGGGTTTTACCCCGTGCTGGAGATGAAGCTCTCCATTGGCTCGGCAAAAGTTTGTTGTTGTTTTGTGTCAGTTTTACGTCGCCACTTCCATTCACATTTTTCATCATTGTTCCACAATGTTTATCATCATGACATTAATATCTATATATTTTATACTATACTTGCACTGCTTACCGTTTTCATACTTTATATATCTTAGCATATTCATATCCCTCACTGTGTATTCATCATTCAATTCATTCTATATTTTATTCTGTAGATTGTGTACATTACTTTTCACTTTACTGCTTTATGCACTCCTGGTTAGAAGCTAAACTGCATTTCGTTGTCTCAGTACCTGTAATCTGTGCAATAACAATAAAGTTGAATCTAATCTTGAGCAGGAACAAATGTATTTACTTAGTACATATCTGACATTAACGATTAAACACATTTGTGCATGAAGAGAGAAACTTGCTCTGTCAGAGCTACAAGGAAGTGGAGAGGAAAATATCACAAACAGAATACTACAGGATTGCTGGGAATATACAAAGTTCCAGGGGCGTGGGTTTGGCTGGACAAAAAGGAGAGAACGAGGGCATATGGAGTGGAGACCATAAAGTTTGCCAAAGCAAGCCCATTTAGCAGTGTTCCCCCATGGCTTTCCCCAGAAGCTAATATAGATGTGAGTATCATAGAAAGGAAAAAAGAGTGGCAATTAAATGAAGTGGGAATTAAAATGAGTATGTATCTGAACGAAAAGTATTACAATTACCTCAACATGTACACAGATGTATCTTAGAAGCAAGAATGCGTGGGGATAGGCGTGTATATACCAGAATTAAAAATATCAATCTCAAAACGAGTGTCACATAACTTATCAGTTTATACAGCAGAAATACTCGCAGCAATTATTGGGCTACAATAGGTTGAAGAGACCTGATAGGGTGGTGATATGCACAGACTCACTATCTGCTTTGGAAAGCATACAGTCCACAATAACTGTTAGAGAAGATTTCATTATTGAACTTAACCACTGCTTACTGAGACTTCAGAGGAGGGGAATAGATGTGCAGTTATGCTGGGTGCCTGCACATGAGGGGGTTCAAGGGAATGAGCATGCTGATAAATTAGCAAAAGATGCGTTACAGAAGGAAATAGCAATACCAGTTTCACTTGGAAAAGGAGAAGGAAAAGCAATAATTAAGAAGAAGGTATGGAAATATGGCAGAAAAGGTGGGAGGAAGATCAGAAAGGGAGGAGATACCACAAGTTACAGAAATCAGTCATAATAAAGATCTATGCAGAAAGGAACAGACGGGAGGAGATCATCATCACTATAACTCAGATTGGATCATACAGGATTAAACGGCACAATGTTTATAATGGTAAAAAGCGAAGTTGAAGAATGCAGGGGGTGTGGAGTGAAAGAAAATGTGGAACACATCGTATTACACTGCAACATGTACAA